TCCACTGGAAACAATTTAAAACAACTCTCTTTTGTTTTTCCTGGTCTGCCACCCTTCCCACCCTCCGCCTCTTACCCAAGTAGAAGGCATAATGCATCATCTTAGGAGGGAGCCCACTGCAGCCTAATTTAACAGCCAGGGAGAAACACCAGTGGACACTGGCCTGCTAATGAATGAATGAGCCTGACATGTAAAATCAGAAAAGATTACTGACTGAGAAGCAGCCCTCCCAAAAGGTCCTGCCAAACCAGCTGTTTAGATAAGCCCTGTTGCTTCCTCTGAATAATAATTCCTTCGCATCAGACTGAGTAAACAAACTCCTTACACTCCTGAGGAGAAGTTTGCATCGTCTTCTTTTATTCATTGAGAAAATATAAGAAAAAAAGCAGCAGCGAGACAGAAAGACAAAAACATATCATGATCAAATCTTGTGTGTCCTCCCCTGATGCATGTTGACAGCTGGACACTGTGGGGTCTGCTGGGTGTATACAGCCTACGAACGATAAATAAACAAAGGGGGTGGGGGTTGGGGGCCAGCCTTGAAAAGCCATACACCTGTGACCAGTGGAAAAGCACCAGGCGCAGCAGTGTTCATTAAAGAAGCCGGTCCTGACAGTGAGGCCTTTAAGAGGCCATCAGGAGCGACAACTCAGCAGCTACCTTGGGACCAGAGAGGGAAAGGAATCAAGGTGAGCAATGCAATTTCAGCTTGAATAATGGACCACTTTCCTCTGGTTTGACATTCATGTATTTCTCAGGCAGTTTTGCCATACAGACCAATAGCACCTGCGAGCCATTCAAGGTTCCCCAGGAAAAACTGGTTTACAATGTCTACAGCCTCACAATTACTCTGGGTCTGCTGCTGGCTGCAAATAATCTTCCTGAAAGTGGTTCATGAATTAAAAATAGTACCAAATATATCACTTTTAATGACATGAAAATGTGGATTTTGTATACTATGTGCCACAGACTTTATGCACAGCATACATCACTGTCTAGGTTTAATCCCTTTTTTTTGTCAGAGGAACTGTTTATAAAAATAATTTAATTAAGGCAAATTATTCTCACTTTTCTGTTGGATTCACCGCCAGATTTCATTTTCACAGAGTTGCTGATGTAAACTGGTAATAACAGAGGATTAATTTACAAGGAGGCAAAATCCTCCAGTGAGACTTGTGGCCCAGAACAATAATGAGCACATAGTAAACAGAACTTTGCCGTAAGCCAAAAGAGAATGCAGAGGCACCTAATCTACACACCGAAACACACAATGCACGCTGACACGCAAACAATCGCATGTAGACAAGCGCAACCACGCCCTCTCGCTCTCTCTCTCCCTCTCTATCGCAAACACAAGCTCACACAGGCAGAGAAAATGATAGCAGGGTATCTTCCCCAGGCCTCTGTAATAACATATGTTTGCAGGTAATTAAAAGAAGCTCTCCAGTGGTTATCATGTCATACTGAAAAACAATGCACCGAGCAAATTACCTTTATGCGGTTATTTATACCACATAAAGGTCACAATCCTTTGGTGAACTGTGACAACATAAGCGTTCATGGCTGAAGCTGTGCTGTGGTTTTGACTTCTAATTGCAATGCTAAGGTCAGCGATCTATGTAATATGCGGTGTGTAATAAGTATGCGTGTTTTAGTAGCTTTTTGGATTTGTTTTTTTAATAAAGGTACATAGTTTGCACTACCGACTGAGCACATACAGTGAGGGAGTTACGTTACCCAGTATTATAGCAATAAGATCTGAGCACGCATTCAGCTTCCTTTGGTGGTTAAATGCAAAGCTGTTGCTGTGACCAACAAAGAGTAGCGCATCCACTGTAGGTTATTAAAAAGTAAAAACATGTTTTTAATCATGTGCTCCGCCGTATTTTTCATTCGAGTATAATTTTAACTGTCGCCAAGACGCTATTCGAGCATCTACTTTGCACCTCTCATATTCAGGATCTGTTAAAACAGCTGGAGGAAACAGTGAGAACAGGTTTCAAACTGTGAAGAGACCACATCAGGAATGTTCTCAACCAACTCGTTTTCTGCTTGTGAATCTTTTGCTTTACACTTTTAAAGTGTTATCTTTTTTTAATGAGTTCCTCATAAATGTGTTTTGTACTCACTTTAAAACTGAGTAATTATTAAACTTCTGTTTTCTGGTGACACTGTGCAATCAGACTTTTTATTTAATCCCCCCCATACTGGGTAATTACATTAATTGAATATTTGACACAACAGCTGATGATAACTTAACACACTATGAAGCTATTAGGACAAATTTGTGGTCAAACAGTTGCATATGCTTGTCTTTTTGTTGACATGGAAGTCGTTTACTCTTGCTGTTTTGCACCCGAAATACATATCTGGCTCTAGTTTCCTAAAAAATAATTTGATCTGGCTTTATTTATCTTTTGATATTTGGCCCATAGTGAAAAATAAGACATGTCACTTACTAATACGGAAAAAATTATCTAATATTTCGTATATTGGTATCTTTGTTGGCAGATAAAGAACTCCAAAACATTTTAAGACATTCCTAATGAAAACATTGATTAGTGGAAAATGAGCCCGTAAGAAGGAATCTTATATCTCTGTGGAGGACTTTGGGATTTGATTCACCTACTATTGACAGTTGAGGCCGCCAAATTAAATACAGATGTTTTTGCTATGCTCTAAAGCGTTATTTATTCGCTTTGTGTGTGTTGTCAAAGTTTGGGGCTATGGGCTGCCGTCTCCAGCAGACATCCTGAGAACCCATAGCAGTTGTGAGCAGTTGCGAACCAGAACGAATCAAAAGAAGGATGCAGGTAGCTTACATTACAGCACAGCTGAGAGGGACACCATCACTGTTTACAACCTGTCTTCCTGTCTTGAATGTCAGCCTCTTATTGTGGGTAGATGCATTCTTCTGCCTAGAGCAGGTGTAGTACAGACGATACAGAAGTAAATAGACCCTACATGATAATGCTCACCTCACTGTTGAGTTTAAACAAGATTCAAATGCATGTTCTAGTTACTTGAGCACCGAAAGGCAAGTGGCATTCAGCATTCCTGAGGTTTGTGATATCACTACATTTAATATTTCCAAAAATGTGGAACTCACAACAAAATAATCAAGGTGTATAAAAACAAAATTGGGCCTGAGGTAAAACACGAATATTTGATATGAGGCGAATTTTGTGCATGTGCAGACTCTGTAGCCAATCTTGATTTGAACTCATATGCATGCAGCTGGGGAACCAGAGTTACATGTACAAGCATGTGCAGCATTTGTCTATATCAAAACCTATGTATTTCAAATGGGCACTCTCATATAAACCTTATGCTTAAGCTGAATTTGAGCTATCCCCAGAATGCTGATCTTATTGTGCCCCATATAAGACAACCTCCCCACCCTCCCACACACAACTATTTCCTAAAATAGATTAGGATCCCTCCCCTCGGCTTCTAATGCTGTGCTCTGCTGCCCAGGGTCTATACACATAGCTGCCAGACGCTGCTCAGGATTAGCTAGTGAGTCAAAAAGCATCCTGCTGCATATGATCTCACACCCTTTCACGAACCGAGGCATTGGCTGCTACGAGGATGCAGGAGAATTAATCAATCCATCCATCAATCCACTGTTTCAATCAATTTCTTTATTTCCAGCGCAGTGTTTGTAGTTTTGTTTTTATGAACACATAACTGAGTTGTACTGTGACTGAGGGAGCTTCCTTCCTATCTGACAGACAGGCGACTCTCTTTTGAAGTAACTGTGTCTCACTCCCTGATGCGGAGGCCAGACAATGAGCCTCCCCCCAGACCCTATTAAAGCAAAACCCAGGGTCCGCAGGTTTGATATTCATCGCCTGGGCAACCTCTACCATCAACACATTTTGTGCCACGTGAGAATGATCACAGCTTATTAAAGTGGAAATAATGACTGCTCTACCTCCGGCATGAAATATTTAACAAGGACAAAGGAGATGGCTCAAAGGTGATTCATATCTATGTTGAAAGGAGAGAACGTGGACAACACCGTCTTTACAGGAAGTGCAGCTGAACATTGCTTAACCTGAGCTTAGAAGGGACTGTCTGCAATTGAAATTTGTACCTCAATGGAAGCAGACATAGAAGAACAGTGGCAAAGGATGTTGTGAATTAATGTTTATTAGCTAGCAACAAAGATGTTGGTATAACAGCAGCAGACTATACATCCCTCTCTTCATTTCATGCCATTTAGAGTTCACACAAAGCAGCCTTATGATTTCAGGTCTGAAATATGTACTAATTTTTAACCATCATTTCATTTAAATCATTCTGTCTCGTTACCAGCTGAGCTCAGAATGTATAGAGCATCCAATTTCTAGATGTGAAATTATTGATGTACTGTACTTTTCCTTCTAGCCCGAGTAAATTAGCTTTTTTGGCCCCTTGGGAAAATCAGGGGAAAAGAGGAGAGTAAAAATATTCTCCATCAAGTGTGATTGAATTGGATTTTACAAGATGAATTGCCAGGACAAGAGTTTATCCCAATTACATTGCCAAGAGGCTTCAGTCCTGCTGCAGCCACTCTGGTCAACAGCAATTAGGGTCAGCTTTGAGTTATCACGGTTTGTCATTGTGAAACCATATTTACAGTGTGAGCAGAAAGCAGATAAATGCAACAGGGCAACATTTACAATAGTAAAAAGTGGTTTGTGGTTTGGGCCAAGAATTCATAAAATTACAGATCTGACAGCCAAAACACGAGCAGAGCGAAACACAGCTGTCTTTTCCATAGCCCACACATCTTTTAATCTACAAGAATACAATACAGACTGCAGAGACTGCCTCGAGCTCTTTTGTGTGGCCATCCATTTTCCTTTCTCACATAGTTTTTTTTTCTTTGATGTAACCTGATGTGGAAACTCAGGGCGGCTTTCATCTGTCTCTCATGAAGAATCCACTTACCACAGATGGTGGCAATAAGGCTAATGACTGGCATATATCACGGAGATGATATTTAGTCTTACCTTCCCCAGGCTGGGGCCCCACAGATATCTCAGGCTGAAAACACAGAGAGCCAAAACCAGGAAGACCAGAGCGAGAATCAGAGCAATTCGCTGGTAGGTTTGGTACTTCGCCTTCTTCCCTTTTCCAGCCTCAACCTGCAAAAGACCAACTTAAGATTATTAATGTGATGCATTTATAAATGCCCCAAATATTAGCAATATTAGTCACCTGCTGATGGTAACTGAACAATAACAAATCAATTTGGAATAAAAACAAAGGCCTAGGTATTGGTCTAAGCTCAAAGTAAATTGCATGGAGCACACAGACCTGTCTGCAAACACACACCACTATTCCTCAGCAAAATGTAGTGAAGCTGTGGGTGGGCCTTCAGCCTAAAAGTTGTGTCTACTGAAACATGGCTGCAGCGGTGAAGCCCATCATCTTGGTTGAAGACGAGCATTCTCCATTTTTGGTTTGAGTCACACGCTTTCAAGTTTCACTACAGACTCGAGAGTAAATGGTGAGTGTTTGCAGACATTTCAGTGTCTTCCATGCAAACCTGTTTGGGATGGAGTTCACAGGGTGACAGCTAGCAACCTTGAGCAACACATATTTTTCATATATATATATATATATATATATATATATATATATTCCATATTTTTGTATTGCCTGTATTATGCAACAAACAACAACCAAATGAATGTGAGTGTTGAATACTTATTTTGTTATCAAATGCCATAAATGCTCTTGCAAGTAAGAGAGTAACAAGGAGGTTTTACATAACGTGGGCAGCAGCTGTAATAAGATCAAACATCAACTTCAGCAACATTTGCTGACAGATTGTTTTTTCTGGGTCTTTCTTTAGCTACATAAATATATATATATATCTTTTTAAAGCAAACCAGCCGATGAAATGCACCTTGGCGTAACAGAAATCAAAGCGACACAGACTGAGCGGTTTAACTGGAGGACAAATACATAGCAAGCTCTCCCAGGGAACAACACTGCACCCGCTATGCCACCAGACATCGCTGGCCAGAGATCAAAGATGGATGAAGCCATGCCACCCGATGTAGCTGTACAGAGGTCACAGGCAGATGAATCTTTGCAGAAGTCACAGTTGGGTGTTATACCAAAGGGCAACACCAGTGAACAGCAGGAATACAGTTTATGTAGCCACAGGTGGGTTGGAATTAATCACTTGTTAGAGAGAAGGATACTGAAGGAAAAGTTCAACCAGAAGTAGATAAAGAGTATTTCTTGACAGCTGACAAGATCAAGTTTGCACTTCTCTGCATACCACAGATGGCCCAAAAATACACCTCTATAGATGCTCCTCTGTGAACCTTATGCTGGTTATGCTTGAAACAAAGAGTGTGTCCAGCACTTTCAGAGATGCTACAGCTGTGAAACTCTGGTGCAGTTGCTACACAGACATCAAATCATTTTGTGGATGCTTTTGGCAATCATGTAGTAGTTATTGTGGACTGTCTTGAAATTTACATTTAGAAAGCATCAGATCTGAAAGCTAGAGCAGAGATTTTTTTCCACTACAAGCACACATACATCCTAATGTTTCTTATTGGCATTACACTACAAGGAGACATCACATCCTAACGCTGTGGAAGTCATATCACTGGCAAGCATGTGACTAAGAACAGTGGCCTTCTTCATAAACTATTACCTGGAGATTTTATTGGCAGATTATGAATTTGACATGAGCGAGAGCGTAGAAGTAATGTGCGCAGAGGGTGACTCGATGCATATGCAGGAAATACAAGCGTGGCCTTACAAGTCAGTATGGTGTTCTTTGATTTTCCTTGAAGGGATTATCTTTGTGCTGTGCAACAGCTAATATATATTCCAGTGTTGTTATGAAATTAAAAACCATAACATAAAATATGAATGAATGTGACCTGCATATGCTGCATTAACAACATTATGCAACATTTGTGTTTCTATATTAAAGGAATGGGAAAATATATTCATGGAGCTATTATTGTCTTATGAAATACAGAAAATGCAAATATGTGACTGGTTTATGGCAACAATGTAGTACAAGTTTGGGATCCCATTAGCAGATTTGTTGACTTACTTCACTGAGAGCAAAGACAAATTTTTCAGCGCTGTCATGGCCGCGTTTTGTGTTTCTGCCTGCCAATCATTTGTATGAAAAAAGGTAATAAATGGTTAAATCATCATTAAATTATAACTGGCTGTTATTGGACATATTCTAAGAAATTCTACCCCTTAGAAACTGTCAGACACATTACTACAATTTCCATGACAAAAGATAAAAGAAAAGAAAAAGACAAAAAACAAAAACAAAAAACCAGGTGGTCCAATATGGGGTAACCCGTTTTTCTCCTTGAGTTTTAAGGGAAGTGTGGTGATTTTTCAGCTGAGAAGAGTTTGTTGGTGAGTTTCGCTTTAGTTAAAAGAATAAAGATATTGTTAAAAATCAAATTTCTTCTACGTATGGATGAATGCAACCAAAAGCTGTAAAACCATCACTAGGTTGAAGAACTGAGGCTACATATAGTACCTTCATATAAAGAATCTTTTTATAGTTGTTGATATAGTACATATACAACAGGTTTAATTAAAGTTACAAAGCAACCTACATGGAAAGGTTAATAATGCCACTTCAATTCAAATAAAAGAAGTGGCAAATAATTTAAAAAAGGTCAAAAGAAGTATAAAAGACACAAACTATGCAAAAGTTCATCAGTCTGAATGTGGCTTAGAACCATTTGTTGAGGAGGCATAACTGGGTCCTATGAACAGGTGATGGAACCTCTCAATTGCACACTGCAGTTGTAACTTGGTTAAAGGCTTAGACTGTGGTGTTGTGGAGACTGTAGAAAAACCTTGGTGAAAATGCTTTTCCTTCTGACAGAGCTGCTGTCAAAGTCCACGTCTGGTAAGACACAAACCACAACACATTCAGTCGGCATCCAAACTACAAAGTTACAACAGTTTGACCAAGTTTGTGTTTGGGCACAGCTGTAGTACTTCTGCATCCAGTTTAAGTCGCTGTTATCTGCACGGGCCTGCAGAATGCAGTTGTTACAGCACTAAATAAAACAGCCTTTCTCAAACAATGCCTGAAATACCATGAATTTCTTTGAATGAAGCTTTTAGTCTAACATAGGTCTGTCTTTCTATGTAATGGTAATGTGACGGCAATTGCTGTTTTAACAGGGGCCCACACCCTCCTCACAGTTAACAATAGCAGTTCTGGAAACAGTGGTGGACAAATATAATTGGGTATTTGAAGATGCTATTATTCCAGCTCTTGATTTCCACCAAACAGGGCATGAATACCTGTCTCTGAGCTTTCACCACACCTGCCTCTGTCTCTGTTACTGTCACAAAGGTGCAGTAGGGACATTGGCTTAAATGAAAAACAGCCTGGTTGTGAGTGAGCAAAATCTGAAGTATGGTGACAGGTCAGAAAGTGTGGGCTTGTGCCCACACGGACTTGTGCGGCCAGCACATATCCCTGACATTCAATTCTCTACACAGATGCACTTACCATGTGCCTTTTTTTTTTTTTTAGCTGTACCTGAGGACGAGTCTGTCTTGTAGTCCACCTCAGTGTAGACCTTGTCCACATCAGTGGGCATCATCCAGTAGGCTGGAAGGTCAGTGACTGTTTTGGTCTCCTGGATCCAGCTTTTAAACAAAAGAGCCCCGGCCTGTGGCCGGCCAAGCATGTACAGCACTACACTTGGCCACTCAAACCGGTTTGAGCAGAGCTTCACTGAAGCATTGATAATACAAAGCATAAGCCACAAATAATATAAATAATACAAAAAAAGAAGAATAATGAAAAAGGCTGAAAATAACCTCCTCTTTTACTTGATATTAATACAGACTCTAGTCAAAAACAGTATAAAAACAATAACATGTCTTTTCTGGAGAACACACAGACTGAAATGTGCCCTAGCTGAGCTCAGTCTCTAATGATCGGGGGTTAAAAAGGGAATGCTGTTCCTGCACCTTCAGTTAATCCGTAATTGAATCTGACAGACAGATTGTATACATAGTACAGCAGAGTAAGTTAATTTTTTGTCTGCTGCTCAGTTACTAACTTATGACTTGCTCATTAATAAACGAATGCCATTCAGTGGTGACTCACCCACTTTCAGGAAATCCTTTTTTCTTCTTATCCCTGCCATGCCTTCATGGTGCAGATGGCAATAAAGTTGTGGCTACTGTGCTTCAGCATCGAACTAGTTGCTAAATCGCAAACAGTTCAAATAATATCAGCTTGTAAGAAAAGAAGTTAATATGTAATAACTTCACTCTCAGAGGCAGGGAACACGTAAGAAAGAGATGACAGGAGAGCAAGATGAGTGTTTTTTTAACGATTAGCTCGTTTATTTCATGAACTGGACATTTGCATTTGCATAATTTTCTAGCTCATGCTAGATTTGTTTAATTAGTTAATAACAATTCATGTACCAGCTTATTATTCAACTTATAGCTCGCTGAATTAATTTGCCTAAATCCAGAAAGAGCAGGAAACCTCAGAGCAGCAGTACAGGTCAGCCTGTCTGTACAGAACACAAATCTACTGGAGCTCACAGCACAAATTACAATGTGAATGATTTCTAAGTGATTCTTTCTCCCACGCTGCACCACCACACACAATCTTAGGGTTTCTCCCCCCCGCCTCCCAAATCCCACTTTAACCCCTCGTAATGACTAAATGTGATAGAGTGTTTGCTTTAGTGTACAGATCAAAGAGATGTCTATGTGGTTGGTGTGGATTACCTACTATGCTTTTTTAGTCACTGACTGAAAATCTGCAGCTACTTACCCCAACAGTTAGTAAATTGAAGGTGGGCCTCGGGAGAGTTGTAATTTATGCAGTGCTCAGGAAACAAGCACAGGTGGAAAACACATCTGAAATTTTTAGTTGCAGCAGCTTGTTGAGATCAACAGATCACTCTTTGTGTTTTGTAAAGGTTGGCCTTGCTCATTTTCACTTAACTTTAACCTGCTATTATAGGTGTACATAACATAAGCTGAAGCTCTGCAATTGGATATTTCTTGCAAAAGGCTGTTTGGGACTCGAGTTGATTTCTCCTGCTAATATTTTTATGTACACAGTTTGCACATTAAACCTTTTTTTTGTCAAAGAACTAGCTATTTTCTGAAGCAGTTTGTCTGCTTTAATGCCTGAACTTGCTACTTCCACTATCATTTCTTTGTCTCAGTTTCCTATTTACAAGTACAGCATTTAACCCAAACAGCTGCCATTTCATCTGGCTACTCCGAAAAATGTATCCACCTCTCAGGATTCTGATGACAAAAACATATAGCCATCCCTGTGCCAGGCGCAGGGAAGAACAGATTGCTACACATGTCACAGAAAGGTTACAATTATTAAACTTTTCTTCAAATTAAAACTCTGCCTGCAGTAGTCAATTCCCCAAGCTTAAGGCCACAAATTAATAAAGACAGGCTTTTGTTCCACCAGAGCTCAGGCAGGGAGAAAATGAAAGCTACTCATTCACACTGGAGCCCTTTTGAAGGTCTCAGAGGACAACAGAAAAGCAGATATGTCCAAAAAAAAGAACCAACTTCAGTTTGCAAAATTAATCCTGCTTATCTTGTCTTTTAAATGATGATAAAGCAGCTTTCTTTTTCTATTGTGGCTGTGGTTGTTATAGCATTTAACCCTGGCAGATTAGGTAGCATTTTAACATACAAGGGTTCTGTATAATATGCAGGAATTATTTAAAAATAACAGTGGTATGGCTTTTTTTAACCTTTGACTGGTATGCTGATAAAAGATTAGCCACAATTCTTCCAAATAATGCATTTGTTCTGGTCTTATTTCCTTATTTTAAATTGCAGGATACATGTGGCATGACTAACGGGAAGACGAATTGAATTTCTGGTAGCTAAATGCATTAGCAGCTTAACTTTAGGAAAGACACAGAAATCATTATTCAAGATAACTTATAAACCTAAATTATACTTTTGCTATTATTGAATAGCCACTGTTTTTATTTGACATATTAGAAACAGTAGCCACAAAAATGTGAGGTGCAAGTGTTGCACATTCCTAGGGCATGATGAAAAGCAGAGTGCTACTATCAGGGAGCCAGAAATTCCTTGCAATATAAATTTCTCAGAAAGAAAAAAAAAACAAAAAACGGTGGCTGAAATCGTCTGGTCTCCTGTGGCAGGTTGCATAAGCAGTGGAAACTTAACAAGAGGACAAACCTCTCTGCCTGTGCTTTGAATATCGAATACTCAGAGGAAGAATGTAGGATTGAATAGACAGACAGAAATAAAGGCACGGATGGAGACAGAGTAAGCAGTCTGAGCGCACAGCACCCGCCAACTAGTGTTTAAAGGTTTAGGAGTTCAGAATCAGCCAGGCAATTCCTCTTGAGCTTTGTGAGGAAGAGTGCCTGGAGCCCCCTGCTGTTATCATGCAAAGAGTGAGCACTTTCATGAGAAAAACCCCACAACAACAACAGAAAAGGTAGCTCACGTAAGCAACAAGCAGAGGCAGGGGTTTATCACACTGGGCCACACTCATATGAGCATTTTAATTCCTGCTAAAGCAATTCTGTAATACAAGTCAGACGCCACAGGTGATTTCTTTTAATCATAACTATTCACGTACTGTGTATTCATCATGAATATCTGCAGAACAAAATGTCATCATTTCTTTGATGCACGGTAAAAGAGTTTACTTTTGTCATACATATAGAAAAAAATATAATATTACACCGCTATGAATGTATTTACCCCTGTGCTCATTTTCTGTTGCAAGTTCTCTCCAACAAATTAAGTGTGTGAGAAAAAAGTAGCAGAAAAAAAGATCTCAGAGCTGAAAATCCTGCCTGTCTTGGTCCTTTATAATAAAGTCTGAAATAAAGACATTTCTTGGTGTATATTTGTATGCTCCTTTCATTTGAGAGGCAAAGATATTATAGATATAAAGCAAATAAAATGGTCCAGATGAGACTACATATGAGAGTGGAAATAAAAGAAGAAAGCCAAGGTGAAAAGCCAATCCAAAAAGATTTAGATGAAAAATTTAATATTCAGGGCAAAACTCTCATCACTCAGCAAGAGATCAAGCCACACTTCTTGAATAAAAAAAAGAAAAAAGGTAACTTAAATCTGAAATACTGAATGATTATATTACTTTTTTGAAGTCACTAATAAAACTTTTCTTTGGACTTTAGAGAGCTCAAATTCTACATGGGTTAAAAAAAAAATCAATAATTATTAAACATAATCAGTTAATTGCTATAAACCAATAACAAGAAGAAATCTGACTCACATCTTTCCACAGAAGCTGTTGACTGCTGGATTGACTGCTACCCTCCATGATGCAAAGCCACAGGATGAATCTTTCCGATCCTCTTAGCTGGGGAAAACACTAAGGCTCTGTAAGGCAAAGAGTCTCAGCTTCATTCCATTGCTATAATTTGGGAGGGTGCCGAAGGGGAGGGAAGTTTCAGATGGAGTGGAATTACTAAAACATTTGTGATACCCATTAAAAGCAAGGCAGATGTCTCTCCTCCCTACCTTTTTCATTTCAAAGGTGAAGAACCACAAAAGATTTCAAGCTGAAACACAAACCCTCTGTTAAATAAATTACATACTACACTGGGATGAAAAATACTGTGATGTTTCACTCAAATCATTCTTAGTTGGAGGACATAGAGTTTGTAGGCGATAAATGTATGTGTGTAGGTAGGTAAATTGTTGGTACAATTTATATTTTTTTCTGTATTATTGTCTGAAGGATCAAACAGAGTTCAAGTACCTTCTCTCTGCTTTTTTCAGGTTTAGCAAACAAGAGCTGAGCTGACTGAATAGCAGCATAACGAAAGAATCAGCCCTATAAAATGAAAATAATTTGCACTTGTGCACATACAGAAAGAAAGTGGGAAGGAAGCAAAGGCATAGGTCGATTCGAGGCATGTTTTAAGACATGCTGCACTGCATTACTTCTGTTCCTCCATCCGAGAAATCGTCACAGTCTATAAAAATGCAAATATTGTTCATTTCAAAATCTCTTACTTCACTGAAAACTTTGCTCATAAATAATTTTTTACAAACTTTCCAGCTAGTGACATAACAAACTAAGCACCTTTAAAAATGCCACATTATTGAATAACTGAAGCTACTCAAATATGGACGACCTAGAACTTTATACAGCTCTTGGCGTGCTTAATAATCGTGTATGTACCCATTTATTTCTCTCAGCCGTTTGGCTCACCATAGCATTTGTTTTTGAAAGTGTCACTGCGACTGTGTGCGATTGCTCCTGCAGGTTCTTTGGCTTTCTGGTTAGTGCTGTGGTGGAAAAGCTCACAATACTTAATTTGAGTCAATAGTTCACACTGGTTTTTAGTTTCCTGTCTGTAATTCATGGTTTGTTTCGAGCTTAAGTGCATATACAATACCCAGCTTTTATCTTTAAAATTACCATTAGTTGCGTTCTTACTTCAAATAAACACAAAGAAAGAACAAAACACCATCCCAACCAGTGTATTCTGCAAACTCATTCAGTGGCAGTTTGGAATTTGTCATTACAAAACTGTTTGGGAAAGACTGTGGTTAATAACATTAATAAAAATAGTTAATTTCGGGTCTATGAGAGGACAGAAATAACCTTAAGTTGTGCAACATCACATTCAGTTCTGTTTCTACAGAACAACACTCACAAATCGTTTACTTGTCTAGTTTGGATGTAAGTTCGGTTGACTAGACTTGACTTTTTTTCCATTTTTTATGGTCTAAAAATGAAACCAAAAGCTTTTTGCTTTGTTATTACCCATTATTGCTTCAGTCTTGGAACTCAAACATGCAATTTTAGGTGTCTTGGGTGTAAGCACCATTATTTGATGACACTGAAAGTCTGTTGGAAACAAAACAGTTTCAACTCCTAAATAAACATAGAGAAGCATTACAGGAATGTGTGTTTATTTATGTCCAGTAGTGACACTTTTTATCAGGAATTTTATTAGTGACACCTATTCAATTGCTCCTTTTGGAAATATCATAACCAGCTGGTGGTAATTCAATGCATTTAGCCTTGTAGATGGTTGAATTTAAGAGTTACCTAAGCTCTTAATGCACATTGGTTTTGAATATTTGATTAAACTGACCTAATGATACTGCAAGAGGATATTAATGGTTTGATTTTTTTCTGTAATTGCTGCATTGCTGTAAGAGTAGACCTTAGAGATGAACCACAAACGGTGTGGAAAAAAATGCTCCAGAGTTGTGGCTGCAAAAAAACAAACCAACTCAAATAAACAACAACAACAACAAATCCACATGGAAAGCTGTGAACACATAGAAACAGAATAATCTGCTGCGTGCCTTCTGTTACACAGCAAACATAATTTGTATAATTTTATTACATTTGTAACATCTGATGACTCATTTCCCATTTGGAAACACTAACTTTAGACTGTTCTTCCTGCTCCTCCCGTAGGCCCCTAGAAACTGTGATTATGTTTGATTTGCTTTCATACACAGACACAAACTGTCCTTTTTCTTTCTGTGACAGTCGGGATAACTTTAAAAATGATTTAATCCAAGTGGCAGTACGCAGTTGATTATAGGACAGCATATTCTTTCAAAACCCCACTGATGGGACTCATCACTGAGGATGCTAGAACGCGTTACTCGTTACTGGGATTTAGATAGGCTCGTTATTCGTTACTTCGTGTGGTGGCATCGCGGAGCTTCCACAGATTCAGTAACATTAGTAAGTGGTGGAGGCCAGCAGGTGGATGAGGGAAAGAGGCAGGAGAAGCAGAGACCTGAGGCGGCCGCCGGTCCGAGTGTCAGGTGAACTGAACTTCAGGTAAGAAGTTATGACCTGCAGTCTCTCTGGGTCAGATATAAACCAAGTTTAGGTGGAGTTTATTTTTGTTATGCTGACTTTTTCGTACTGCGTGCTAGCTAGCATGACGGAGTTTCTATACAGCTGGGTGGGTGCTATGATGTTACTGATGTTGAACTTTATTTTGTTCATAAGGTTAATTATTAAAGTTGCCAACCGTCCCCTAAAAAACAGAATCGTCTCATATTCAGAGAAAATATTACGCGTTTCGTTTTGAGGTGAAAATGAACACAATTTGCCCCGTACTTCAGCTACAACAAAAAAGACACAAAGCTGGAGCTGCACAGCTGCCTCTTCTTCTCTCATTCTCCCCCTCCCTCTCCCGTTTCTACTTCAATCATGAGACTGATCAATGATCAGCTGATCGGCTTTTCTCTCTTGTTTGTTTATCGCCCACTTTGCGCCAGAAAGAAGAAACCAGTGGCGGTCGCGTTAAACAACAGCAGCACGTTTAAGCTTGATCAGCTGTTGTTAGAATTGATTTAATATTAATTTCTAGTATCAGCTGATGTTTGCTGGAGCCACAGCTGTAAAGCTGCTGGTCATGATGTCGGTTTGGATATGTGGTGAGAGGGAAACATGAAGATGAAACCAGGAGATGTCCTTACTGAACCATCAGAGCTGAACAGGTGATGGAGAAACAGGTTTACCTTTTAGGTGACATGAATGAGTTGAAGTTATGAACTGTTTCTGAGAGACAAATAACCCCAGGATCCTTTTTTTTACGTAGCTGACAGCTGGTAACTGTGCAGGGGCGGGTCTAGCAAAGTGTTGCCAGGGGGCCAGGTAGGGTATTAACAGGGAGAGGGGGGCACAAAGAAATACTTTTCTTTCTTATTCTCATTTAAAATGTCTTGCTTTTAAAACATAATTATCTGAATCTTACAAAAAACGATTGATAGATTGATGCATCAGAACAGTGTACATCACTGTCACAACAGTGTTTATTTTCATTCAAAGGCTTTATGATTTTTCCTATAATGGCGGCCGCTCTCTAGTCAAAATGCCCGGGCTGATTTTTTGTCCCAGTCCAGCTCTGTATGCAGCTCATCTGCAGTCTGGTGTTACCTACATCTTCCTATTCAGAAGGCAGAATTTCAGAGTTTCTGAGTACAATCGAAAGCACCACGACTGCAGTTTTTGTGTTGGATGTAAAAAGCGCACGTGACGCTGTGACGTAGGCTAGAATCATGGCAACAGTCAACGACGGTCCAGGCGTGGGATTTCTCTCGTGGAAATATGCACATTATCTTTTCCTTTCTATTGGTAGGTGGCACAGTGCACTTGTGGCAAGTAAGCAAGCTGGCAATCTTGTTGGGTATCCAGTTACGGAAGCAACACATTAACAAGAGAAGTCTGAGTAAAACCAAAGATACTTTCCCTAGTAACTAGTTACTTTGAAAGTAACGAGTAACTTGAAGTAACTGAGTTACTTTTGATAGAAGTAACTAGTAATGTAACTAAGTTACTAATTTAAAGTAACTTACCCAACACTGCCTATTAGTAACCAATCAGTTGCGATTTCTCACTTATTTCTTAGCAACTATTCAGCAGGTTGTGATATTTATAGTAACATTTTAACAAATTTCTCAGCTTTATTATCATTTCGCTGCCATTATGAAGTGATGTTTTCTCCCAGTTCTATGCCAGAAAATGTAAAATAAGCAACTAATTTTATATGAACTCATCCTGCAGGACTGAAGGATCAAAGCACACCCATGATTTGGGGATTTCTATGAACTGACTGTCTGTTTTCATGCCATCTGAGATGGCATACAAAGCAAAAGCTAAAAGGTGTGATAAAATATTTTGAAGTAATCCCGTTTTATTAAAAACACAATTTCACAACCTTAAAGCTCCACTTCACACTAGATTTACAGAAGTGAAAACCGTCGGCTCGGTCAATACCAGCTGAGGTGGAACATTCCGGGTAAAATTGGTCAACCTGCAAGCCTTTAGTGTGGCAGACAACATTTGAGCACATATTAAGTCTGTCAGATCTGATGGCTGTGGGACCTCGTCAGCTCTTTCCCATTGATAGAAATCTTCACAATTACTGTGACATTTTGCTTGGGCAAATCAAGTGGCAGGGCTTTCAGGAATAGTGTTGTGTCAGCAGCAGTGTTGAGCATCCTGGGACCCTCATTCCCCTGATAGCATTCAGCACCAGACGGAGGCTTTGACACCCACAGAATAGAATAAACAGCAATTTAGTTTGGAGTATACACCAGATACTCAAAGATTAGAGCAGAGGTTGATAGGAGCAGCCTTAGCAAACCGGTAAGACTTGCAAAATAAACATTTACTCTGTCCTCATGCTTCCATCCTGATAGCTTTGATAGAAATTTTATTTTGTATTTGTCACTTTTCCAAACACAGATTGAGCGCCGTAACCACCAGTGAGGCCCGTTACAAAACCAACAGGCCAAGCTGGATTCTGGGAGTTTTGTTTTATTCTGTGTGTGGCTTTTTTTTCGTATAAATGGACTGTTTTGTGTCAGACAGCAATAGTTCTG